CGCTGGGCAGGGCGCGGGGGTCGCCGGCCGGCCTTGGTCAGCAGCAACAGCAGCAGCAGGAGCAGCGCTCTGGGGAGGGGGACTCGCTTCTCGGGGCGCGCTCCGTGGCCAGCCCTTTCAGGGGGGGTCGTGGCCACCCCCCAACCCCGGCGCGCTCGGCTTGCTCCAGCGGGGCTCACCAGGCGGGGCGGGGACCTGCACTTGGGGCGCTCTCCCGGGGCGCGCGGGTACCCGCTCCTCCTCCTGTCCTCCGGCGAGCGCGGACTCTGCCCTGCCGCGGGGCTCAGTCCACCTGCTAAGTGAAGGTTCAGGGAGACAACAAAGAAAGAAGCTGTTCCTTTCTTCCTTGGCCAAATTATGGATAACCAGCCACCGGCCCGCTCCTTTCCTGGTCCGCTCTCTTCTCTCCTCCTCAGGAACACATTTCACGCGTTCTGCCTTAGAGTAGTAAAACTTTTCTCGTCCTTGAAGGCGTGGTGATGTTGGCTGTTCTCCTGTGTGGAGAGGGGAGGCTGGCTCCTGTTCTCCCCCTCTGGTCCTGTCGTTTCAAGTTTTGTTCTGTCCTAGGAAAACTTCTTGCGATGGTGCATTTCTCTGAAGTTGCTATTGCCGGAGCTCTAGGTTGCCTCTGAAACAAGAGTCCTTTTTCATTCTCCTCGCAACAGTCACAGTCTGATGCGACATTTTTCCTTTTGGGCAGAAATTAGGAAACAAATATAACAAGGAAAAAAATTGAACAGGAAAAAAAAATGATGTCGAATTGCTCTGTTACCTTGTTGCTGACGGTTGGGGTTGGTGTTTTATTATTTTCCCAGCAGTTGTCTGGAGGAGGAGGAAGAAGAGTGCATTGGTGGAGGTGGAGGTGTGTGTGTGCATATAGGGGATCCTTGATACACAACCAACTCCAGTGGGCACGTTGCGCCGCTCCCAGAGTGCACCGACGGCGGGCGCTGGCGCTGGCCGTGCCGGAGCAGAGTTGCAGCGGGAGCTTGCTCTGCGCCCTCGTTCGCGCTCTCTCCCTCTCTCACTTTCCCTCTCCCTCCCTCTCTCTCCTGCTCTCCCTCTCTCTCGGGCGCCCGCTCTCGCTCCGATCTGACAGTTCGCTCTCTGTCCCTCCCTCTCAGAGCAGGGACTGTAGAATGTTTACCCTCCGCCGCGAGCGCGCACCCACCACCACACTTTCCCAAATACAAGGAAGTCGAGCACCAGGGCCCCCGCTGATTGGCTACCCGCTGGGTGATTGGCAGGCCCGGAATGACTGGCTCAGGACGCGCGGCCCCCCTTCCGGCCGTTCCGATTGGTTGCTTTTTAATTTAGGCAGAGCGTCGTAGAAGCTGGAAATCTGTCGTCCCCCCCCAGTCTCCCTCCCCCTCGCCACTTTCCCCTCCCTGCCCCTCCCCCTCCGTCCCCTCCGCCCCCTCCGCCACATCTTAACTCTTAGTGTCCGGCCTAAACGTTGGCGTTCCCTCGGAGGCTCTAGGCGTTCACGATAGGTCTGGCAGGGGGGGAGAAAAAGGAGAGAAAGGGAGGGATGAGGCGGGAGGGGGGCAAATCAAAAAGCAATCGAGGAGGAAAAAAAATCGCGAAAAACAGTAGTCTACGCATCCCACCTAGTATTGCGGTGTGTTGCAACCCCCCCAGCCTTCCAGCCCCCACGTCAGAGATTTGTAAAGCGCGCGGCACGGATGTACCATTCAAGATAATACCTATAGACAGATGTGTCCCCAGTGGTTTCAAAGTTTCCTCTTCCCTTCACCAGCCGGCCCCCGTCCTCGTCTCGGCGGGGGTGGGAAGGGGGGGCTCGCCTCACCAAGAGCTCGGGTCGTGGCCACGCTCCTTGGAAATCCGCCACCGCAACTTTCTGCAGCCGCCGCGCGCCGGCGGCGGCCTTCTTTGTTTAAGTTCTCGGATGCCATCATCTGGGAAAACCTGCAGCCCAGGACCAGCGCGGTGCCCGCGCGTGCGAGACGGACCGCTCGCCGCCGCTGCTAGCGCTCTTCCCCACCCCCTCTCCCTCTCTCCTTCTCCCTCCCTCCCTCCCACCCACCCTCCTCTGGGATTCATGCAAGTAACGTGCGTGCCCTTGTGAGTTTGGAGGGTGCCGGTCAGCGGAGCCACGCGATGTATTTGAAAAGCAATCATTCCGACCTTCCCCCATAGATTCATCGTAAGTGTATTCGACCCCAACGCCTTTAGAATTCCTGTGGCAGCAGGAGTCGGCCCAAAGATCTGGGATCCACTAGCCGCGCCCTCCAGCGCTCCACCGCGTACTGTGTGTGTCTCTGTGTGTGTGCGTGTGTGTGTGTGTGTGTGCGCGCGCGCGCGTGTGATTTCAGTGTGATTGTTATTAGTGGTGGGGTTTTGCTCCCTTGCTATTCTTGGGCATGATGGTGCTTTTTTCTTTCTTTTCCGTCTCGGATGGTTTTGCGTGGTAGATGGGACCGGCGGCTACAAATGCTTTCTCAGTCCCAGCCCGGCAGAAAGAGTTAAGGGAGATGGGAGGGGGAGTACTCGGGGTAGGCGGGAGAAGCGGGGGTGGGGTGGGGTGGAGTGGGGGGACGCGGCCAAGCGGAAACGCTGCACAGAGGAACCTCAGCGAACCAAGAAAAAAGAGAAAGTGGCAACGAAAACAAGGGCAAATTGAACCCTCCTCGGGGATTTCCAATGAACTAACCCAATTCGGACATTCAATAAATACATGGTTCCTAATGAGTGTGCGTGTGCGTGCACCCAGCACCCCCAGCTGTGGGTGCGCCAGCCCTGCAGCCTGCAGTCCCGAGACCCAGCGGCGGCCCAGGACGTAGCTTTGGAGCAGTCGGTGTGCTCCGATTATAATGTGAACGGGTCTGCCCTTCTCTCCCGATGCACAATTCCTCTGCCAGTGCAGTTAGGTAAACTCAGTTAAAGCCGGAGCTCTCCAGTCCAGCAGCAGCACCGTAGCCTCGGCGTGATCTCAAGATTAACAGTAGACGCGTAGAATTTGTGTAGGATCTCGTCCAGCTCCTGCTTGCCGGGTGAAAAGATACCATCGTAGGTAGGTTGTAGCAAAGCCATTATTGTCAAGGTATAGATCTAAAAGGCAGTGGTAACCAAACCCCAGACAGAACGGATTTTTTCCCCCTCTGCGTCCCCCAAAGGTTCCTTTTTGTATTTATGTATGCGTATATGTATATATAAAAGATGGAACACAGATTTCATTGAATAAATCTGAGATCTCCAGGTGCAGACGTTTGAATAGTCAGTGCCAGCACCCCGTGTTTTCCTTTCCTGCCGATTTTGCTTGGATCCGGCTCAAAAACCGAGAGAGTCTCGTGGTTTTGTTTACACTGAATGGGGAGGATAGGAACAGAGCCATGGGGCCGCCTTTCATTAATATACAGTGAGGATTTTGTCTAAATTACTGCTATGAATTTCACAGTACACGCTTTCAAAAGCAGTCTCAGGTGGCCTCATGAAACGTGATAGCGCCTCTGCAAACAGATCCACTTTCTTTCTTTCTTTGCAAGGAGGGTGTGTATGCTTATGGGAAGCCCCCCAAAACGCAGTGCTCCTCGGTAACAGAAATGCACTTCTGTTCCGAGGTCTGTCCCCTTCTTACTCCCCCCTTTCCACGTACTTAGTTCTCGAATCGTTCCCCAGCCTCCCACCCCCGCCCCACCCCACCCCATCCACCCCCTCCCTTTGCGTAGTGTGATTGTTTTGTCTGGAAAAAAAAAATCCAAAGTATATAACAAGGGGAGAACAGTTAGTGCTGATTTTCATTTGCATACATTTTCATATATTTTGGTGAAAATAATAGACTAGTGAGAGCTGGGCTTAGAGGAGTCAGTGTAAAGGGAAGGCTAAGGATGCATCGGTTCTGGAGAGTTGAGAATATGCCTTCCCCTCCACCCCCCAAGGCACCTTATTTGAAAACAACAACAACAAAAAAAAAACTTATTTTTTTTTTTTAAATCTAACCTTGGAAGTTTGCTGGGTAAGTGTTTTTCATTTTCTTTCCCTGCTTTCCTTTTTCTCTCCTTCCTTTCTGGTCTATTTATTTATATTCTTGTAGGTTTGGGAGCTTATTTTCATTGCTTGGGAGGAGAGGGTTCACAGAGCAACTGTCTGAGGAGGGAAGGGAAAGTACCGTTGAGGGGGGGAGTGAAAAAATCCAACCCTGCTAAAATATTGCGTAGAACTATGGACGCGTTCCAAAGAGCCACACACAGCAAGGCACTTTACTTTTTTGGGTGGCTGAGGAAGATTCGAGTGCTATTAATTTTAATTGTGATCATGAGGGGGGAAAAGCCTTGGAAAAGAAGTGATTATTAAGCATGCAGAATATGAATATTTCTTGTTGAGACTTTTCTTCTTCTTCTTCTTCTTTTTCTTCAGAGAATCAAGACTAGAGGGGAAGAAACCCCCTTCTGTAGCTGGTGGTGATGTTCAGGACTGTGTGTGCCTGCCTGGGTTTGGGTGGGTGGGGGACTCATGCTGAGAGCAGGGGATGGAGTGAGGAGGGGGGCTTGGCAAAGGGAGGGCAGAGAGCTAGAGAAAGAGGAAGCAGATTGGGGAGAAGAGGCAGGAAGTCAATGCACCCCTGGTTAATGCTGTGTCTGGGGAGCCAGGCGGTGAGTTTCAGCCTCCTGGCTTGGTAGTGAAAGCCCATCAGAAAGAGGGTGATCAATCAAAACTAACCAGGACATCCCTGCGCTTTATTCCCAAAGGACATTAGAGCGTCAGCATTGAAAACCAGATTTTACTGTGTGTGTTTTTTAAAAATTTCTTTATTTCTGACTGCCGAACTTGCCCCTCCTTGTCACTATCTCTGGATTTTGTAAAAATTGAGGGTGTGGTTACTTACCCCTAACAATAATTAGATAAATATGGCCGAAGGAAATAGCTAGGCCAAGTCCAGGCCGGTCTTACCTTAGCAAAATAGGCCAGAGAGGATTTAAAAAGATGCTTGGTTTTGTTCTTTTAAAGGAAGCTGCGACTGGGGTGATGAGGGGAAAATCCAATGGCTGGAATTTTATTGCACTTTTGTACACAGAACACCTTACAATTTAGAATTGGTAATTTATTTGGAAACAGTTGATGCCAAATCAATGAAATGGTTTGTAACGAGGGAGGAAGAGGTTTCAGTTGGGGAGGGGGCTAAGAATCACCAGTTTTCTACTCCTTGTTTATGCGCCTGGCAGCGTCGCATTTGACTGGGGTTAACTCTGTGTGCTCCATTGGACCAGATGCCATATAGAGCTGCTCCCTGAAGATCATTTGTTTCCTTGATGGGGAACATTTCTGAGCAGAGCATATTGGTTGCCATAGAGAAAGAAATAAAAGGAAGAACACTAGTCACATTAAGCTATATGTTTGTGCACTGGGCTTTAGATAAAAGGACCTTGGTTCAGCCAAAGAGAAGAAGCCAAACTAGAGATTTCTAGTGCCACTAAAACTAGCCTTATTTTGTTTTGGACTTTTACAGTTGAAACATATAAGCTAATTTTATTGGTTGTTGTTAATTTTATATGACACGGTTTACTGAACAAAATAAACTTTGCTCAGGAGTAGCACTATTGACTAGTCAGCAGGGGGCGCACTGAGTCGTTGTAGCGGGTGCTGAGTAAAATGTAGCCGGTTCAAAAGCAAATCTGCTCTTCGAAACTTGCCAAAGGAACAAACACCCCTACCTTTCTATGCATATTCACAACGAGGAGTGAATTCGTTGCATAACGCAGGGTTTTAAAATACTAGGACAATGATTTTCCCATCCCCCAGCAGCTCGTGTCTGTGAAATGGCCCTGCAAGATACACAGTGCAGAAATGATTTCTCCCTTTCTCTCAGGAAAAGTATCCATAGGTCTGTCTATAGAAATGTGCTATGAAAGCAAGAACACTTTTTTTTTTACAAGTGTAATTTTGATTACTAATAGGCTGCTTAAGAAGCTATTTTTTTTCCTGTTGTAATTTTTGGAAAAAGGTCAAGCAAACAAAATGCATTCTAAGGTATTATCTGTTAAATAATGGACATTCTGTAACCTCATACAAACGTTGAGTTCTAAATAAAACCTAGGATTCTGAAGATGTGGTCAAAGCCCCTAGAATCTCTTTCACTCCATTTGATACTGAGTAGCTACTTTCATTCTCCATACAGCCTGTGGCTTTTTAAAAAAGATTTTGGATTTGCCCTTGAAAGGCTGTTAGAGAAAATACAAACTAACCATGGGTTGGATCGAGATAACTGTGGGCTTGAAACTTTTAAGGACAATATTACTTAACCCAGTTGAAGAAAAGTTTTAATAGAGCTCCAAGTTTCCGCCTCAAAAGATTTTTTAGATACTGCCAATGGAGACCCAAGTTAACTGTGGTAAAGGATGAAAGAGATATGTGGGAAACTTCCTAAAATAGTGAAGGGCAGATCCTGACTGGTTCAGAGGAATTAGTCAGTTTGTCACTAGCAATTTTCCCAAGGAGATTTAGGGAGCTTGACTGAGAAAGGGGAGCCATGAGTTCCTGGAAGCTTCCCCAGCTCCGTAGCCCCAATGCACCTGTGAGTGTGTCACACAACCTGTTAAAAGGGGGGCACACTAAGTGATTGCTGTATGTCCCTCTGCAAGAGGGGCAAGCCACTTCATTATTTCTAACTCAGCTCCAAGTCATCCAGGTTCCAGCCACCAGAAGAATTTTTTTTAAAAAAGTAATTTTAGTAAGTTAGTGTTGGGATGGAAGAGGCATTTCATCTAGGAGTGTTGAAAGATTATGGGAATAATATAAACAAAGGAGACACCCTCAAATATATTTTAATTCTGTGATTTTCACCCTTGAACCCTCACTTTTGGAATCAGGAAATGTGTGTCAGGTTTGCACTAATAAAACAAAGTGGAGAATTGAGGAAACTGTAATTTGAGCCCAAACATTGCTTTTTCCTCACTCTCTGGACATTTCAGACAAAAGACTTCTTGGGGGAGACCCTCATGAACTGGGCAGATGTCTCAAAGCTCTAGCTTATTTTGCATGTCCAGGGCTGTTCAGTGCATTTTAAAAAAATATTAGCGAAAAAGGAAACTTTTCATTTAGACATTTTGTAAAACGCTGGTGAAGCAATCATTATACACATTTAGAGCATATTTATGTGTTTGTCACTTTTCATGAGATCTGTGATTGTCTAGGCTACTGCTTAATTTCCTTTTTTTTTTTCAAATGCACTTAAAAAGAACCAGGGAAAGAAAAGAAAAGTGCTTACCTCTCATGATACCTATAGTCTTAGGCAACTTGCAGTAAAAGAAACAGAAAATAAGAATTCTGAGTAAAAGTAATAAAAGCAACAAGTTCATTTAAGAAGAACTCTCACATTATAGGAACCGCTTTAGCATTCTGTAATGATTTGGGGGTGGAAACATTCAAGCTGGGTATGAATTAGGATCCAAAGTGCTGGGCAAAGCTACAGACTTTTAATTGTTGGGGATGGTGAAATTGCTTTTGCCAAATGAGAGCGCGAGGAACATTACCTGGGTCAAATGTACCAAACACAAAGTGGGTATTTACTCATCTGCTTCCATTTGAGAATGATAAGGTGCTCTGATACCGCTGCAGTTTGGAAGCACATTTTCATTAGCATTTACAAATTAAAATGTTAAGCATGCTCACAATCCACATTGTGTGTTTTATACAAAAGGGAAGGTTCTGTAATGGTAGCTTTTGGGTAGAAGAGAGAATTTGTTACGTTGGCAGCGGATGAGTAGTTGTTTGGTCTTGCTAAGTTTTTTGAGGTGTACTCCTTGTTCCCCATGCCTCTCTCTTTGTATCATTTTGATAACTGATTTATGTGTTCAGTAGGAAAGAAGCAAGTACTCAGTTTTTTAAAAAGATGGATTAGAAGTAGTTAGAAATTCAAAGATATTACGAGTACCCACCCTAAAGTAAGATGCTTTCTTTTTGATACTTGAAGGATGGCTTTAAACTACAGTGCATTTCAGATTGTGGAAAAATAAATTAAGAAGGCACAGTTAGTTGGTAATTGAGTATATGCTTTTGAAACAAGCCATTCCCAACAGTTTGCCCACACTAGCTGCATGTGTGCACCTGACAAGTATGGTAATGAAAACTACCAATCGCTGGGGAAGCAAGAGCTGATGGACTAACCTTGCCTACCCCTCACCATCTTCCCTCCTCTCTACCCAACATAATGGTCTTCTTCAAATTTAAATTCATAGAGCAAGGCAATGTAGAGCCTAGCTGATTGACCAGAGATGATGTTGATAATGATGGTGATGATGGTGATGATGATGAATTCATAAAAAATGTGTATATGTCCTAGCTAGAAAAATATTCACAAGGTCAACTTACTGTGTGTGTGTGTGTGTGTGTGTGTGTTAAAAAACAAAACCCAGAAATATTAGCTTTATCAGAGGAGTGAATGGAGTTTTTGAGCTTGTGGTGGTCCTAACAGAATTAAACTGCTCTTTCCTTTGGGGACACTCCCTATACCAAACATTCCCTAAACACTTAACAGTGCCAGTGTTTCCTCTCTGGGTTGGAACCAGGCAGTCTTGAGGTAGATAAGAAAGTCATTGTGGCATACTGGAAAACAATTCTTGCACTCTGGTGCGTGCATCTCTCTCTCTCTCAGATTTTTTTTTTTTTTTTGACATTTGAACTTAGCTATTGTCTGAGGAGCTGGGTGCAGATTGCAGCATATCAGGCTGAATGTTGCTCTTTTTGGTATTTCTGCCTAACAGCGCTTCTGTGGGGATCCTTGCTACAGAGTGCGGAAGCTGCCACTCCACAACTCTGCTCTTTTCCTAGGCCCTACCCCTTCTAGGGTTCCCAACCGAAACTGGCCACCTTCAGAGATGTTTTCAAGAAAGTGTGGCTGTTGTTGTTCGCTTTAAACAGCAAGTGCATTTATTGATATTTGATGCTTCAAGTACTCCATGTTTTGCAGCAATATCATTTCAGTACTAAAATATCTGGTAGAGATTTGTGACCTTACTCAGGATAGCTTCTTGCAGCTCAAATTGGTTAGCCTCTACTTAAAAGTTATGTGTTCAGTATTACTTTAAATGCTCATCCCTGTCCCTAATTTTTCTGTAGGAAACTTGGATAATAAAGTTTGAGGGGGCAACCCCCAGACTTAAGGTGGCACTGGACAGACTTCAAATGTCAATTTAGTATTAAATCGGGTGCAAAAAGCTTTCAGAAGTCAAGGTATATATTCTCCAAGTGGCTTGGGCTGTCATCCCTGTATTGGTAATTCACGTCCCAAAAACAACCAAGTAAAACTTCACATGGAATAATAGGACTGTTCAAGTATCCTAAATTTGAAAACACTATGATTTTATTGAAGGGAATTGGCTAGAGATTCCCTTCCAGGGTTAGAATATAAGATTAGAACTTTTCCCAAAAGGGTTTGCCTTGGAAACTTCAGCGTTTACGGACGCCTTTCCACAATGGTGGGGTCCTCCTTTGGCCCTGACTCTTGCCATTTGTGATTTGTGGTCACCAGAAGGAACTTCTTCCGATCAGCGGCAATACTGGAGCCTCGGGGCTAAGCTCAGCTTCCTTAGATTGCAGTCAAAAGAGCAGCATTTTATTTCATTTAGAGCACAATTTGGATGATAAAACCCAAAAGATCCCATACCCCCCCCCTTTCTCCCTGAGCACTGTCCAGTAAGGATTTTCAGAATATGATTTGAACATGTGGAGCGGCCTGCAGAAGTCGAATTAGCATTACTTTCCTGTATAAAAGAAAATGAAAAGGAGATTTAAAAGGGCAAAGTGAGAAGAGAGTAAGGTAAAAGGAGCGAGGTGGAGGAAAGAGCAGGATGAGATGGAGGAGACTGGGGACAGAAAGGGACGAGGGAGGGACGGCGGCGGGAAAGATCAGATAAACGCTGAGTCACCCTAACTAACAGGTCATTGGGTACACGGGAGCGAAATCTGCAGCCTAAGAAAAACTGGGTGCAAATCGCACCCATCTTCTGGGCCTCTTTCCCGCCCGGCCTCAGGAGCGTAGGCTTGGAGCTGGCGCCGCCTGCTCGCCTTTGTCGCCGGCTTGGTGCGCGGCCGCGGGCTCCCGCGGCGGGCTTTGTTCTGGCAGAGCAGGGCAGGACCCCTCACTTCGCCGCGTCCCCGCCCTCCTCGAGCTGGGGACAGTGGGGGTGGGGATTGCGCGACAGGGACCCGGACCCGAGGAGTGTCGGTGGGAGCCTTGGAGCTTGGGATTTCACTCCTTCGCTCCTTTTCGTAATTGAGCTGTTCTTCCCTCGGGGAGGGGGCCGGGGTTGAGCGGGAGGAGGGAGAGCTGCCTGGGGGGCGCCGTTCTCAGCCCGCACCGAGGGCGAGGTACGACTCTCTGTCCTCCGTGCACGGATTTGTCTTGTACGCATGTAAGCATGGAAGGATGGATGAGTGCAGGGATGGATGGATGAGGAAAACCTCTGAATTGGGGCCCGTGTTCTAGGCTCCTTCCCGGGGTTTTGGCAACTGCAGGGCGTCTCAGGTTGGTGCGCGCAGTTAACCCCTAAGGCCTGCTCTAAGGTCTCCAGGTACCTTGGGGCCGCGGGTGGGCGCTGTGGACGCACCCTGGGTCCGCAGGTTGCCCATAAGCAGCGCGCATCTCTCCTCCGTGGAGGCCTGTGGCGAGGGACAAAGACGTAGACACTCGGGCAAGCGGAGGACAGGCGCGTACATGTACCCGTGCACCCACGCATCCATGGGCGCACCAGGCCCCAGGCCCCTCTCCTTAAAGCGTGAGCCCTCACGCTTCTAATTCCAGGACTCTTAATATGGAAAGTTCGCCCCAGAGAGAGCCGCTCCCTCTTCCCGCCATTGCATTTAGCTAGCAGCGTGTGAACGTGTGTCACCCTCTCCCCAGCCACCCCCAAAGGTGTGGGCAGATTGAAAGAGTTGCTGCTCTGTTATTGTTTGTCAAACAGGGCCTTTCTCCTGGGAGAGGGTCGAGGGGCATGTGGCGGATCCCGGGCCAGGATTACATTAATCAAAGCATTATTTCCCCAGAGAAACCGAGCACAAATGAGAGTAAATCCTAATAAAATTGGATCGCGGAGAAACCGAACGCTTTAAATAATCTGTGTTGCCTGATCAAAACCTCACACTTATAAGATGTGAGTCTTCAAACATTTTTTTTTTTTTTTTTTTTTGCCCACGCAGCCTGGCCTTGGCTGGACTGCTGCATCTGGGTCAGACTGGGGAACGTCACTACCCAGTGCTCAGTTGAACTTCTTGAGAAGGGAAGTGGCCACCCCCGGTGTGGAGCTTCCCAAAATCAGGTCTACCGAGAAGGCACTTTCGGCTCTGTACGTCGCTGTGGGGTACTTGCAGAACCTCTGGGCTGGATCAAGTCCCCTTTGGTGCCTCAAGAGGTGTTAAACTCCGTTCCTCTGGGAAGGTGGTCACCACTTTCCGCTTTGATTGAGGTTTCAAGGTGGGCAACATTCCCGGAGTGTGGGCGAAATCCCCACCCTGCTCCAAGGCGGGCTGGATCCACGGAGTGGGCAGGGGCCCGGCACCAGTGCGAGCGCTGGCCGCTAATTCCCGGGTCCCCCCATCCCTATACTCCAGACACCTGCCCAGGGCCCCTCGAGGACTGGCGGTCTCGGGTCGGTCCCCCTCAGTCTGGGAAGGAGTGAGAGTTTGGGGTGATCAGTGGGGAAGTCGAGGGCTCCACTTGCAGGCAAGACTTCTGGTACTTTCGGGCCATTCCACTCAGAAAGCAAGACTCACACTTCTTCCTCCTCTATGTCCCCCAAGTGGTAGGAAACTTTCCGACGCCTTGCGCGGCTCTGCAAGGAGAGGAAAAGAAATAAAGAAAAAAAGAAAAAGAAAAAAACCCTTCCCTCCCAACTCCCAATCCGATAGTAATGATGGAGTCAAGCAAAGCCACTCAGCCAGGAGGCAGTCTCCCCCTGTCACCCGAGGCCTCTTCCAGCTGCAGAGGCAGGAGAGCGGACGGCAACGCCACGCGGCCCCTCGAGGGTGACAAATGTGACAGCATCGTCCCGACCCCACCGGTGAGAACCGGCATCAGAGCTCCTCCTGACCCTTAAGAAAGGTGCGGAGGGAACCCGCTCCAGTCTGGATCCGGTCCTCTGCCAGACCTCCACTCGGCACCCCCAGGCTGGCGGCCGGGCCCAGCGGGGAGCAAATGCGGCAGCGCCCTCTGCAGGCCAATACTGGGAGGGCCGGCGGCTTGCACGGGCCGCATGGGGTCCCGCGGCTGCCCACGTCCAAGCACCGTCACCCGCCGGGTCCGCGGCACCTGCAGGCGCTCGGTGCCGTTTCCAACGCCAGTTCCCGGCGGCAAGGGACTGACGGGGCCGAAGGGGAAGGAGGGGTGAGAGCCACTGAGGGAGGCGTCAGTCCCCAGTCCCCATCCCCTTCCATCCCCTGTCCGCCGCCCGGTCCCCACCCCTTCTTGGGTCCGCGCCGGGCAGCCCCTGCCAGTGCCCGCGGTCGCGCGCCTGGATCCCGGCCCGCGCGTCCCGGAGCCCCCCGAGGCCTCGCTGTCACTCGGCAGGAGCCGCGCCGGGCGGGGCAGGGTCGCCTCACCTCCCGCGGAAGCGCCTCCGAGAGACCGGTTCCCTCCTGCTCCGGCGACAGGAGCAGCTCGGAGCCGTGTGCGTGTGTGCGTGTGCGAGGGCGTGTGCGCGTGTGAGTGCGGTGCGCGCGCAGGGCAGGGCAGGGCAGGAGGCGCTGCAGGAATGCTTTGGTGCAGACGCGTCGTTTTCAGCCTGGGGTTGAAATCTGCAACCTGAGAGCTTATTATTATTATTTTCTCCCGGTTCTCCACGCGTGCCTCTCCCTCTTTCGCCCAAGTCTTCCAATCCGATTCCCAGTGAAATCCCCCTTGTGGTCCCTTGTGGTCTCGGGATGTTCTGGATACCCTGCCTCACGTGATCCAGGGCAAAGGGAGAGGGACCATGTTAGCTGGAAATGCCACCAAGAGCATTTCCATCACCCAGCTTGCTCTTTATATTGGGCTTCACACACACCAGGAAGCCACGTTTTCAGGGACTTGTGCATCTGCTTTCTCTCTGCCCCGTGGCCTTAAAGAATTGAGATTATTTATTTTATTTTTTATTTTTTATTTTTGGAGGGATAGGGAGGAGCCAGAAACTGGTCTTGAGCTGACCAATTGTGGTCCCGTTGTGCGCCTTTCCAACTTATTGGCTTCTTTCTAGTGATGGGAAATTTCGTGGTGGGGATGGTGGGGTGGGGTGGTAAAGAAACCCACACCTTTTCAATTCTAAAATAATGATTCCTCTTTCCTCCAGTCTGTGATTTCCATAATTTCATACAAAAACAGGGGCTGTTCAATTATCTCTCCATGAGAAAAGAGAAAAGCAGACTAGTAGAAGAAACTTGGGCCAAAATAAATCCTTCCTTCATAAAACGTAAGCCAGGGACTGAATCCCTGCAGTGCCCCACCCAGTTTTTTAAACTCTCAAGGGGAAACCGGACAGAGAAATTCAGAAAAAGGCTAAACATTTCTCTCCTTCACTTAGGCAATGAACCTAGTTGCCAAACTGTATTTTTGATAATCTGAGATTTGGAGGATTCTTAAAAAAAAAAAAAAAAGTTCACATGCGCCTGTTTTTTCTATTTGCTATGATGTTTGCATCTGAAGATTTTTCACTAATTTAGAAATACCTGTGGTATGTGTTTTTTACTTGGATTTATTAATGTTAGGTGGTTTTACTTTAGTAATATTTCTTTCTCAGACCCCCTGACGGGGAGTATAGCTCTAAGTAACAGTGACACACACTTTTGAACTACCCCAAGAGGCTTTCACCAGTAGAACCTTGACACAATTTCAGTCATTCCTTTTTGTAAGATAATTTAGTGACAGTTAAATTTTAACAAAGCATGTTAATACTAAAATGTTAGTGTTTCAGTAGATGAGCTTTTGTTTTTAGAATCAAAGTTTAGCTTTTCTTTGAATTATTTATTAGGCTATGTGCCCATGGGCCTTCACAGAGAAGGCAAACTGTGGAGTGGAGAGTTTTACTTTTATTTACTTAAAGCCTATGTTAACATAATATTTTAAAACTAGCCTTTTGGAAAACAGCAGATAATTGTATATGTTGACACTCACCTTTGGGACTGTGACAAACCAAACCCGAATACAACCTAATTACTTTCATAGAAAACAGTACACAGTTTACAGTTAACTAAAATATTGCCTGGCTTTTCCTTCGGAGCTCCTCCTCCTTAAGTACAGTACAGTTTGGTAATATACTACACATATTTATACATGATGTAAATATACATATGCACAAGGGTAGATGTTTATGTACATAACATAACAAAATATATACATACCCCAACTGAATACATTTGCATAGAACATGCCCATGTGTAATATACAAAACTTCTACAATTAACAATACATTCTATAACAGATAGTCTTCAAATAAGAAGCCAATCTTATTCATCCTGAAAAAAATTTTAAATTTCCTTTGAAATTCGAATTGTGCTCCTTATAAATGACACCACCAGAATTAGTATAGAAGAGAATCACAGTACTATTTTAACCACACTCCATTTAAAAGTCCTGCAAACTTAAAGTATTTTATGTAAAATTAAAAAGAATAGTAAATAGTTTAAAATATAAACATTCTATCTAACGTCTGGTGGATATATATTTTTTGGCTTGTTTCACAAATTAAATACTCTTGTCTTAGAACAAAAATTAGATTGTGGATGCAATAAAAACAAACAGTAGTTTTATTTTCTTTTCTATTTTAGAGGAAACATTTTTAGTTAGTTTTTTTATGGACTTTTATAATTCATTTAAAGACATTCAGTAGTCTAGTGATAATTCACAATGTAAAAGCAAATTTGGAGCTTATATTTATACTTGAAATGATTTGTATTAATATGAGATGACATGCTACTTATTTGCTTCTTTTAAATGTATTTTGTATCTGTGGGGTTTTTTTGTTGTTAAAATAAAGATTGCAGTTAAAATGAATATACTGGTATTCATTGACAAGAATTCAAAAGCTCATTTGTGCTGAGCAAATGTAAAGAAATATTATATCTAAATTCTGTCTTTTAAAAGCTATTTATTCTAGTTGATAAAGGAATCAAAATGATAGTTTTGAAGTTTTCCTAAGACTATGATTAAAAAAGCTTTTTCTCATAAGGAGTTTTTTTTTTGGCTAATATTATAAAATATATTGATTGTTCATGTTTCCATAAAAGTATATTTCTTTACTAAAAATATTTGTGATGTTTATGATGACATTTGTTTCCCATGTAATTTATTGTTATTTATTTCAGAATATTTGAAAGACGGATAACCTCTCAGGGTATCTAAATACTAGTGATGAGCTTGTGAAAAGAAGCTCAACTGTTTTTGGAGATTTTTTTCCTTAATCTCTTAAAAAGTTTGAAATTAAAATGATAGAAATATCAAGAGTAAAAAAAATTTTTTTTTTTTTTTGGAAAAAGATTATTACTTGGAAAGAGGTTAAAACATTTTTCTCTGGTTGGGGCTTTAAGATGAACTGCAAATATGCTAGTCTTTTATTTAGGGAAGTTTCTGTCTGATGGTGTGGCATGATCTGAGGAGACATAGGCTATGTAATGATTTAAAATCGCACAACATTCATTCAAAAATTTGGTTGAAGAGTCATTCACTACAAAATTGTAAAATAATCTTTTCTGTCAATTTAATTAATGAAGTGGGTAAAGGACTATTTTAGCAGGCTCAAATTACATATGTAGAAAGATTTGTAAGAATAAATACTTTGGCATTCTGTGGCTTAAAAGCAGACAGAGCTATAATATAGCAAATTAAACTCCCCAGAATATAGGCATCCAAGATTCAATTTCATTAAAAAATTTGGCAGTTACAGAAAAGAAGGAAAAATGCTTATTAAATCAGGGTAACTATAAAATGTTGACAGATCTCAAGTTTCATATCCAACTAGGCGCTTAGAAAACTGCTGGGATGTTGGTGGAGTATAAGTTATTCTGTCAAACCATTTTTCATAGAGAATTATCTTTTCAGTACCCTTAAATTTAAACTCCAACTTTATAGACTAACCTTCCTCTGTGTCTGTCCTGCTTTCTCTTTCTCTCTTCCTCCTTCCCTTCCTTTGTCCCTCCCTTCCTTTTTCTCTTTCTTTCTTTCTCTGCACCCACACGTCATCCCAAGTCAGGTGGGTGAGACTAGTAAGTCTCAGAGAGGCATTTTGGGGTGGTGGGGGGAATGTGAGGCCTTTGGCCTCAGTGGATCTACATTATCAATGACATGCCTCTAGGACACTATATATCTGTGTTCTCTCAAAACATTAATTTTTCTTTCCTCACT